GTAGTGCTGCGCTTTGTGAATGTCCCCGTAGTCTTCTGGAAGCTGTCATGTATCCCAGACGACTACATGGAGGGGGGCAGGGAGAACAACTTCCGCTTCCAATCGCCTTAGGCGATTGCAGCGGAAGTGGGAGCTGGTACTTGTCACATTCAGGTTACCCGACCCCGCCCACCCCCAACAAGCACCCCCCCCCCTGCTCCCCAAAGGTGCCAATCTTAACCGGGTGTGGGGGACTAGGGCTTCAAGAACTTCCCTTTTGGGTGGATAAAGGGAATGTCATGGGAAAGAATCCATGCTGGCGGTCATACTGATCCAGTGTCCAGCACTAAGTGTGATGCCTGTCTGCTGCTTCATTCCTCTGCTGCTGTCTGCATGAGTCACTTCTGGCAAGTTTTCCTGACACTAAGAGAAAAATGGTGACGGGGAGGAGCTCCAGCACACAGCCTGTGATTGACAGCCTTAAGTCTGTTCCTGTCTGCTGTGTTAAAGGGGGTGTTTCCATTCCCTCCAATAATTTCTCAGAGCTCCCCTTACTGAGCTCTGCAGAGTGTTAACTTCACCTCCTTGCCGGTTTTCTGAACTCTCAGATAAACTTTAGAAATTCTAGACTTTGGATGTAGAGGAGAGAATTCTGCAGATAAACAGGTACAACAGCAAGCAGCAGTGAGTGGTCTTTATTGCAGGTAAAGTCTCACATTGGATCATTGCACAGACCTGGAAGTACTCTGGCCCCACTGTGGAAATTCACTCCTGCCGACCAATGTGACTGGGACAGAAAGTGAGGGAAAATCCAAAGTTTTGAGTTGTCGCCAGAAAAGTAAAAAAAAAAGAGAAATCTCACAAGAACAGAAGGGGAATCTTTCAGTGACGGCAGTGACCTGTCCTGGTGACCACTGACACTGGAACTGAAAGTGATGGGATATCCAGACTTTGGAGTTGTTACCAGAAACGTAAAGTAGCCGTCCAATGGAGGCCCTGTATTGGTGACAACTCAGAGGGGTATCTCCCTCACTTTGGGAAATGTTTCCTCTCTGTTGTGTCTACAGGACCAGGAAATAAAGGGGAATCTCTCAGCAGATGGGCAGACGGTGTTCTCAGTGAAAGGTCAGCCTCATCATTTCCTTGTAGTGTGAATGTTACCCTGAGGACGGATTTGTCATTTCAAGGAAAAGATTTCTGAAAAACATTTACTATTTGAATGTTTCTTCCTCTGTGGTCATCCCTCCTACATGGCGCACCGCGATACAAAGCTGCCCTCACCTTTCCGGATTCTTCCTAGTACAGGCTCTCTGTGCACAACTCTGCCAAACGGACACATTGCGGATGGTTTTAGTTTTTACACTAAATGTCGTCTCTTTGCTGATAGTACAGTAGATACGGTGGAAGGGAAAAAGTATGTGAACCCCTTGGAATTGACTGGTTTTCTTCAGTAAGTTGCCATAAAACGTTATCTGATCCTCATCTAGAGCCATACAATGGATTAAAATTCGCTCAGTTCAGCAGGGACTGGCCAAGATTCCATCCATTCTATGGGTAGGCTGGTTGTTCTGAAGTCAATCCGTCAATCAACTTCAGTACAACCAGCCTGTCAGATATTTTTCTTTTTTGCATGTAATCACTGCTGGAGGATATAGCAGCAAGCAGTATTCATCATCGTGTCCTGCTGCCAGGGAAGGGTCCCCGCCGGCAGAACACAATAGCGCTGCAGGACTGACTGTGTTGATGGGGGAATCCAAGCCATTCTCTTTTCTTCCCCCCGTGGAAAAAATAACTGTAATCTATGGCTTCCCTAATGCCAGCCATAGACCGTTCAAACCTCAGCCAGATTCATACCATGTATGGGCACACTAAATGTACCCAAGTCCCCCCCCCCCCCCCCCCCCTTTTTTTTTCTTTACTCCTCCCCCCTTTTTTTTTTTTTCTACTCCCCCCCCCCCCCCCCCCCCCTTCTCCCCTCCCCCTCCTCCCCCTTCTCCCTCCCCCTCCTCCCCCTTCTCCCTCCCCCTCCTCCCCCTTCTTCCCTCCCCCTCCTCCCCCTTCTCCCTCCCCCTCCTCCCCCTTCTCCCTCCCCCTCCTCCCCTTCTCCCTCCCCCCCTCCTCCTTCTCCCTCCCCCCGTCCCTCCCTTCTCCCTCCCTCTCCCTTCTCCTCCCCTCTCCCTTCTCCCTCCCCCTTCTCCCTCCCTCTCCCTTCTCCCTCCCTCTCCCTTCTCCCTCCCTCTCCCCCTTCTCCCTCCCTCTCCCTTCTCCCCTTCTCCCTCCTTCTCCCCTTCTCCCTCCTTCTCCCCTTCTCCCTCCTTCTCCCCTTCTCCCTCCTTCTCCCCTTCTCCCTCCCCCTCCTTCTCCCTCCCCCCCTCCTTCTCCCCTTCTCCCTCCCCCTCCTCCTTCCCTTCTCCCTCCCCCTCCTCCTTCCCTTCTCCCTCCCCTCCTCCTTCCCTTCTCCCTCCCCCTCCTCCTTCCCTTCTCCCTCCCCTCCTCCTTCCCTTCTCCCTCCCCTCCTCCTTCCCTTCTCCCTCCCCTCCTCCTTCCCTTCTCCCTCCCCTCCTCCTTCCCTTCTCCCTCCCCTCCTCCTTCCCTTCCCTTCTCCCTCCCCTCCTCCTTCCCTTCCCTTCTCCCTCCCCTCCTCCTTCCCTTCCCTTCTCCCTCCCCTCCACCTTCCCTTCCTTCTCCCTCCCCTCCTCCTTCCCTTCCCTTCTCCCTCCCCTCCTCCTTCCCTTCCCTTCTCCCTCCCCTCCTCCTTCCCTTCCCTTCTCCCTCCCCTCCTCCTTCCCTTCCCTTCTCCCTCCCCTCCTCCTTCCCTTCCCTTCTCCCTCCCCTCCTCCTTCCCTTCCCTTCTCCCTCCCCTCCTCCTTCCCTTCCCTTCTCCCTCCCCTCCTCCTTCCCTTCCCTTCTCCCTCCCCTCCTCCTTCCCTTCCCTTCTCCCTCCCCTCCTCCTTCCCTTCCCTTCTCCCTCCCCTCCTCCTTCCCTTCCCTTCTCCCTCCCCTCCTCCTTCCCTTCCCTTCTCCCTCCCCTCCTCCTTCCCTTCCCTTCTCCCTCCCCTCCTCCTTCCCTTCCCTTCTCCCTCCCCTCCTCCTTCCCTTCCCTTCTCCCTCCCCCTCCTTCCCTTCTCCCTCCCTCCCCCTCCTTCCCTTCCCTTCTCCCTCCCCCTCCTTCCCTTCCCTCTCCCTCTCCCCTCCCCCTCCTTCCCTTCTCCCTCTCCCTCCCCCTCTTTCCCTTCTCCCTCTCCTTCCCCTTCTCCCTCTCCCTCCCCCTCCTTCCCTTCTCCCCTCTCCCTCCCCCTCCTTCCCTTCTCCCTCTCCCTCCCCCTCCTTCCCTTCTCCCTCTCCTTCCCTTCTCCCCTCCCCCTCCTTCTCCCCCCCCCTCCTTCTCCCCCAACTTCACACTCTCCCTCCTCCCTTCTCCCTCCTCTCCTTCTCCCTCCTTCTCCCTCCTCTCCTCCCTCCTCTCCTTCTCTCTCCTTCTCCCTCCTCTCCTTCTCCCTCCTCTCCTTCTCCCTCCTCTCCCTCCTCTTTCTCCCCTCCTCTCCCTCCCTCTTTCTCCCTCCTTCTCCCTCCTCTCTTTCTCCCTCCTTCTCCCTCCTCTCCCCCCCCCTCCTTCTCCCTCCCCCCCTTCCCTTCTCCTTCCCCCCTCCTTCCCTTCTCCTTCCCCCTCCTTCCCTTCTCCCTCCCCCTCCTTCCCCTTCTCCCTCCCTCTCCCCTTCTCCCCTTCTCCCTCCCTCTCCCTCCCTCTCCCTCCCCTCTCCCCCTTCTCCCCTTCTCCCTCCCTTCTCCCCTTCTCCCTCCCTCTCCCTCCCTCTCCCTTCTCCCTCCCTCTCCCTTCTCCCTTCTCTCTCCCTCTCCCTTCTCCCCTTCTCCCTCCCTCTCTCTTCTCCCCTTCTCCCTCCCTCTCCCTTCTCCCTCCCTCTCCCTTCTCCCCTTCTCCCTCCCTCTCCCTTCTCCCCTTCTCCCTCCCTCTCCCTTCTCCCTCCCTCTCCCTTCTCCCCTTCTCCCTCCCTCTCCCTTCTCCCCTTCTCCCTCCCTCTCCCTTCTCCCCTTCTCCCTCCCTCTCCCCTTCTCCCCTTCTCCCTCCCTCTCCCCTTCTCCCCTTCTCCCTCCTTCTTCCCTTCTCCCTCCCCCTCCTTCCCTTCCCTTCTCCCTCCCCCCCCTCCTTCCCTTCCCTTCTCCCTCCCCCCTCCTTCCCTTCCCTTCTCCCTCCCCCTCCTTCCCTTCCCTTCTCCCTCCCCCTCCTTCCCTTCCCTTCTCCCTCCCCCTCCTTCCCTTCCCTTCTCCCTCCCCCTCCTTCCCTTCCCTTCTCCCTCCCCCTCCTTCCCTTCCCTTCTCCCTCCCCCTCCTTCCCTTCCCTTCTCCCTCCCCCTCCTTCCCTTCCCTTCTCCCTCCCCCTCCTTCCCTTCCCCTTCTCCCTCCCCCTCCTTCCCTTCCCTTCTCCCTCCCCCTCCTTCCCTTCCCTTCTCCCTCCCCCTCCTTCCCTTCCCTTCTCCCTCCCCCTCCTTCCCTTCTCCCTCCCCCTCCTTCCCTTCTCCCTCCCCCTCCTTCCCTACCCTTCTCCCTCCCCCTCCTTCCCTTCTCCCCCCCTGCCCCCCCCCTTTTCCTTCTCCCTCTCCCCCCCCCCCTCCTTTTCCTTCTCCCTCTCCCCCCCCCCCCCCCTCCTTTTCCTTCTCCCTCTCCCCCCCCCCCCCCCCTTTTCCTTCTCCCTCTCCCCCCCCCTTTTCCCTTCTCCCTCCCCTCCTCCTCCTCCTCCTTCTCCCCCCTCCTCCTCCTCCTCCTCCTCCTTCTCCCCCCCCCTCCTCCTCCTCCTTCTCCCTCCTTCTCCTTCTACCCCCCTCCCCCTTCTCCCTCCCCCCCCCCCCTCCTTCTACTTCCCTCCCCCTTCCCCCCCCTCCCCCTTCCCCCCCCTCCCCCCAGGCTCTGCAGGAGGGATTCCCCCATCAACACTAGTTATTAACAATGCATTGTTTGCTGTCTCTATGGGTAAAGCTTTATTGGTCATTTTGGTTCTTTTGCAGAGCGAACCTCAGCGACTCCTACTTCACCAACCGCCAAGACCGCTACATCCTGCTGCAGGGCTGCGCGCAGCTGGCCGACTTCTTTAGTGAACTGGTGGAGGCGGTCGGAGATGTGTCTCTGCAACTACAGCCAGATGATTCCATGGAGGTAGAAGAAGGCATGGAACACCCGTATCAAGGTGGGACATTCCTCACTCTGCAACCCTAAACTAGTTCCCTATAGGTAGCAGTGATGGAAGTGCTTCTAAAGTCCTCATTTTTTTCACCTTAAAGAAGTATGGCCAGAGCTTTTGTCAATACTTCTCTTCTGGGTCACAGGAGTGCACTTCATTTCTGCCCTCCTGTGACCTGGATTCAGCTGACAGTGGGTTAAAGCCTGCTGTTGGCTGATGTCACAGAGCTGGTCCAGGCTCTGCAGGGATCCTGACAATAATGTCGGGATCCACCCAGGTGTCTGACCAGTAGCTGGCTGAACATGTACCACTGAGAGCATAATCCAGCCGTTCTCGCCTCCTCCCCAGCACGATGCTCCAGTGAGCACTGGAGGGCAGAACAGAGAGTGGTGACTGACAGTTGCTGCTCTTTGCTCAGAGGGGACTTGAGAGCTGAGCGATCAGCTTTCTTTGATCACTCAGTTCTCGGTGTAGAGCTGGCGCTGGACAGCTGCAGTATTGGATCGATCCTGTAGTCATCTAGATTAGTATAAGTGTTTTTCTATTTTTCACTTTTTTTTTTTAATACATTCTCTACATTATTGTAAAAAAAACTTCTCAATAACTCTCCTACCCGGCCCTATCCCTAAACATGACCTGACTCCTGTCACTGTTCCAGCACTGTCCCGGCCGCAGCACCACTTTGCTCACTTCCTGGTCTTTCAGGAGACTCAGACTGACAGCGGCAGGAGCCTATGGCTCTCGCTGCTCTCAAACTCCTGTGAGGAGGAAGCCCGGGGTCATTGCTTACCCACGCTGTGTGTGTCTGTGGACGCACACAGCCTGGCTCTGGAGCACGTGCACATGGTTAAGGAAGCACCTGGAGGAAGGGGGACCGGACTGCGCCAGTGGGGTACTGCCTGAAATGGAGGTGAGGGACCGCTCTGCACAAAGCATGTAAGCATAACCTCCTTTAATATCACTTGAAGTTGCTAAAACTTGTCTTTTTATTATTTTTGTCCAAAAGGTGAACCTTCAAGGCAGCACTTCCATTCTGGTCTCCATGGTGTCAGAATATTTAGGAAATGTGGTCAAACAAACATGCTGAAACCGCATCTGCGTGACGACGGGCCCTTGGCTGCAGTGCTATCGTAGCACAAGACCACTAGTGCATGTGATGTGGGGGGAGGACACTTCTTCGGCTTGGCCATACATTATACAATTTTCCTGAGATTTTTGCTTTGGGTTTGACCTATTACCGTATTTTTCACTCCATAAGACGCACTTTTTTCCCCCCAAAAAAGGGGGGAAAATGTCAGTGCGCCTTATGGAGCGAATGTAAAGCCGGCCGGTCCGGTATTTCTGCCGCCACCATGTCAGAATATCAGGCCGGCCGCTCAGCTCTTCTCTCCTGCAGGGCCTTACCTGTTCCTCGCTCCAGCGCTGCACAGTCTTCCCGCAGCGGCTTCTGTGACAGCCGGGTGCCCGCTGCGCATGCGCGAGAAGCACTGCCGTTTGTGAATGGTCCGGTGTCTTTTGGGACACGTGACAGGTCCCAGAAGACACCGGGCCATTCACAAAGTGCAGCGCTTCTCGCGCATGCGCAGTGGGCACCCGGCCGTCACAGAAGCCAACGCGGGAAGAAGGAAGGACAACTCCATGGAAGTGGAAGCGGGTATCTGTCAAATTCAGGTAGCCGTTCCCCCTCCCTCCCTAAAGGTCCGCAGTCTCTGGTAATCTCCTTTACTGTCTGCAGTCTCTGGTCATCTGTACTATGTCCGCAGTCTCTGGTCATCTCCTGTACTATGTCCGCAGTCTCTGGTCATCTCCTGTACTGTGTCCGCAGTCTCTGGTCATCTCCTGTACTGTGTCCGCAGTCTCTGGTCATCTCCTGTACTGTGTCCGCAGTCTCTGGTCATCTCCTGTACTGTGTCCGCAGTCTCTGGTCATCTCCTGTACCGTGTCCGCAGTCTCTGGTCATCTCCTGTACCGTGCCCGCAGTCTCTGGTCATCTCCTGTACCGTGCCCGCAGTCTCTGGTCATCTCCTGTACCGTGCCCGCAGTCTCTGGTCATCTCCTGTACCGTGCCCGCAGTCTCTGGTCATCTCCTGTACCGTGCCCGCAGTCTCTGGTCATCTCCTGTACCGTGCCCGCAGTCTCTGGTCATCTCCTGTACCGTGCCCGCAGTCTCTGGTCATCTCCTGTACCGTGCCCGCAGTCTCTGGTCATCTCCTGTACCGTGCCCGCAGTCTCTGGTCATCTCCTGTACCGTGCCCGCAGTCTCTGGTCATCTCCTGTACCGTGCCCGCAGTCTCTGGTCATCTCCTGTACCGTGCCCGCAGTCTCTGGTCATCTCCTGTACCGTGCCCGCAGTCTCTGGTCATCTCCTGTACCGTGCCCGCAGTCTCTGGTCATCTCCTGTACCGTGCCCGCAGTCTCTGGTCATCTCCTGTACCGTGCCCGCAGTCTCTGGTCATCTCCTGTACCGTGCCCGCAGTCTCTGGTCATCTCCTGTACCGTGCCCGCAGTCTCTGGTCATCTCCTGTACCGTGCCCGCAGTCTCTGGTCATCTCCTGTACCGTGCCCGCAGTCTCTGGTCATCTCCTGTACCGTGCCCGCAGTCTCTGGTCATCTCCTGTACCGTGCCCGCAGTCTCTGGTCATCTCCTGTACCGTGTCCGCAGTCCATTGGTTCAGAATATTTTTTTTCTTGTTTTTCTCCTCTAAAACCTAGGCGCGTCTTATGGTCAGGTGCGTCTTATGGAGCGAAAAATATGGTATATGGTTTTTGGTATATCTAAAGAAAAAAATCTCAAGAAAATTGTATAATGTATGGCCAGCCTTAGTAAATAACCCCCAGAGGCTTGAAAGGCTGGCCACACACTATACAATTTGCTGCCCAATTTCCTTTAGATTTACCTTCCACTATGTAGTGCAAGGGTCTGCCTAATTAGATACAATTGAAAGTGTTGTTTAGGTTTGACCTCCTATTATATGGTTTTTGGTAAATCTAAACAACACTCTCAGTTGTAGCCAATTAGGCGGACCCTTGTGCTACACAGATGAAGGTGAATCTAAAGGAAATTGGAAAGAAAATTGTAAGAAAATCGTATAGTGTATGGCCAGCCTAAATCTGGTGCAGCTGCGCATAGAAACCAATCAGCTTCCAGGTTTTATCGCCAAAGCTGAACCGAACTAGCTGAAGTTAGAAGCTGATTGGCTCCCACGCACAGCTGCCTCAGATTCTGAGTGCTCCAGTAACCCTAGGTTCACACCTATGCGGGGGTGGTGCCGCTGCGGATCTGCACGAAAATCACCCGCAGAGAGAAATACGGACCCGCGGGCGGGTGCCATTAGTTCTGCTGGTACGCTGCCCGCGCTGGAGACCGCAACCGTACTGGGAACCTCGGCTGCGTTTTTCAAAGACGTGCCGGGACTTCTTCCCTGCGTGGCACGGAAGTCCATTCAAATGAATGGGCTCTCGTGCCCGTGAAAAACACGACCGCATAGATGTGAACCGGGGGGGGGGGGTAAATCTCCCTTTCTGTGTCATAGCAGTCCCGGTGTAGTGAAGGTTCCCCGTCGGGCATCTTCATACATCTGCTCTTCAATGTCTTAGCATGCCCAGCTGGCTGAACCCCCCCCCCCCCCCATCCCAGCTCAAACCCCCCCCCATCCCAGCTCAAACCCCCCGCCTTGTTTTTCTTATTAACAATATCTTGTGGTTTCATCTGTGTCTCACGATGCTGCATGCCTCCTTTAACATCCTGCCAAATCAAACAGACATGAAAAAAAAAAAGATTTACCCGAGATCACATGCAGGACTGCCGGCATTGACAGGAAGCAAACCCACAAGAAAGTCTCACACTTCAAAAATGCCTTCAAAATAAAAGAAAAAAAAAGATATTTTTATTGTCTTTTATTTATATGGTCTCAGCATATTTTGCAGATCTGTGTACAGTGAGCAGGTAAACACGCCGCCGCCATGACAGTAACGGGAACCTGCCGATCATCATATGAGACAAGTGGGAAAATGTCCCTATGGGCCGATCTGTAAGGCAGAGAAGGGTTGGAAGTGTCAAGGTGGCATTCTGCAGAAATAAGGGCCCCCCCCCCACATACAAAGAAGGGTGCTGCCCGATCCATGGCTGATGCCCCTGTCTGCCAATCCCGTCACTGGCTTCCAATACTCCCAATACCAACCACAACATACAGAGCCATCCATAACACTGGCCTCCTGGATACTTCACCAACCTCATTAGATATTGCCCGAAATGTCCTCTCTGCTGCTCCCAAGACATCTTGCTCTCTAGCTTCCTTGGTACTTCCAATCGCCAAGTGGGAGCTCTGAGGAAGAGGCAAGTCCTCGAAACGCGTCAGCTTATTAGATGTTTACACTCCCTATTGCAGAGCTGTGCACAGTAAGCAGGTATACACGCCGCCATGACAGTAACAGGGGAACCTGTTGATCATCATTTTGAGACAAGTGGGAAAATGTCCCTATGGGCCGAGCTGTAAGGCAGAGAAACTCCCAAGACATCTTGCTCTCTAGCTCCCTTGGTACTTCCGATCACCTATGCGACCACAGTGGAAGTGGGAGCTCTGAGGAAGAGGCAAGTCCTCGAAACGCGTCAGCCTATTGGATGTCTACACTCCCTATTGCAGAGCTGTGTATGGTGATCAGGTAAACAGGCCACCACCGCCATGACCGTAACAGGGGAACCTATTGATCATCATTTGAGACAAGTGGGAAAATGTCCCTATGGGCCGAGCTGTAAGGCAGAGAAGGGTTGGAAGTGTCGTGCTGCAGAAATAAGGCCCCCCCACATACAAAGAAGGGTGCTGCCGATCCATAGCTGATGCCCCTGTCTGCCAATCCCTTCAATGGCTTCCAATACTCCCAATACCAACCACAACATACAGAGCCATCCATAACACTGGCCTCCTGGATACTTCACCAACCTCATTAGATATTGCCCGAAATGTCCTCTCTGCTGCTCCCAAGACATCTTGCTCTCTAGCTCCCTTGGTACTTCCCATCGCCTATGCGACCACAGTGGAAGTGGGAGCTCTGAGGAAGAGGCAAGTCCTCGAAACGCATCAGCCTATTGGATGTCTACACTCCGTATTGCGGACTGTTACTCCAAGCTGTTCTTTTACGACGTGCCATGACTTTATTGTCGTTTGTGAGTACAACACCTGCTTTATTTCTTATTAAAACATTTTTTTATGGTAACGTACTAGGCCCGTGCACCCTCTGTTCTTTCCTCATGGAGTGGGAGCGGGTAACTGACAAAATCAGATACCCGCTTCCCAAAGGTACCAATTCCTCACGGGGGGAGCAGGGCTTCTCAAGGGGGAATGTCCCATTTTGGGTGGAGCTCTGCTTTAACCACTTCATGTCCGGACACTTTCACCCCCTTCCTGTCCAGGCCAATTTTCAGCACAATCCAAAATGGTGGGCACCGTTTATGAACGGCAACCCGCCCCCTGCGCTGCCACCGTCTGGCCGTTTATATACAGCGGCCGGACGGGAAGTGGTTAAAAAAAAGCACACAAAAAACAAGTGGCGAAAGTGACGTGTATGTCTAATATAAAAGGTCTAATCCATACGGCACATATATCCTCACTGGGTGAACTAGAATTTGTACCAATAGAACCAGGTTTTCCTGAATGTGTCTTCCTCGTGATGTAGTGCAGCACAGTGGCTCAGTGGTTAGCACTCCTGCCTAGCAAGCCTTGGTGTTCCCAGTTCACATCCCGGTCAGGACACTATTTGCATAGATTTTGCATGTTCTCCTTGTGCCTGTGTGGGTTCCCTCCTACACTCCAAAGAAATGCTGGCAGGTTAATTGTCCGTAGTATGTGTATGTATGGGAGATAGGGGCATCAGATTGTACGCTCCTTGCGGGCATTTTACATTTTTGTTTTGGGTTTGTAACCGTTTAAATTCAGGTACTGCTTGCATAGTTTTTATGTTGTAGTCGGAATAAAGGGCTGCATTACTTTATAGCTACCTGGAAATTAACTTTAAATCTTGTTACCAAGCTCCACCTCAAACTACCAGTGGGTGGAAGGATTTTAGATGGAAGTTGAAGGCTAGATTCACACGTGAGTATTGTCGCTCGATTTTTGTGCTTTTAAACGCATTTTCATACAGCGTTTGTTGCTTTTAGCTTTTCCATCAGCTTTTTATTTTTTTTTTTGTTAGGGCAAGGGGTTAGAGCAGGGGTGGGCAAACCTTTTGACTTGAGGGCCGCAATGGGTTCATATATTGGACCCGGGGGCCGGACTAGCTGCTGGCCGGCCCAGCCACTACCATGCCATCCATAGTAAGTATAGTAATATTCCCCCATAGTAAGCATAGTAATTAATCCCCCATATAGTAATTCATCCCCCCTATACTAATTCATCCCCCCTATACTAATTCATCCCCCATATAGTAATTCATCCCCCATATAGTAATTCATCCCCCATATAGTAATTCATCCCCCATATAGTAATTCATCCCCCATATAGTAATTCATCCCCCATAGTAATACATCCCCCCTATAGTAATTCATCTCCCCTATAGTAATTCATCCCCCCTATAGTAATTCATCCCCCATATAGTAATTCATCCCCCATAGTAATACATCCCCCCTATAGTAATTCATCCCCCCTATAGTAATTCATCCCCCCTATAGTAATACATCCCCCATATAGTAATTCATCCCCCATATAGTAATTCATCCCCCATAGTAATTCATCCCCCATAGTAATACATCCCCCATATAGTAATTCATCCCCCCTATAGTAATTCATCCCCCCTATAGTAATTCATCCCCCCTATAGTAATTCATCCCCCATAGTAATTCATCCCCCCATATAGTAATTCATCCCCCTATAGTAATTCATTCCCCATATTGTGTCAATTCACTTATCTTTGCTCCGCGCGTTCCTCTCGCCGTGTTCCCGCGCCGTTCCGGTCTTCAGGGCGGACTGTGAGAGGAGAGGAGTTCATCACGCTGCCCCGCCTACATCCTGACAGCCAATGTTTGCCACACTCCGCGGGCTGGATTACAAGGTCCGCCGGGCCGTATACGGCCCGCGGGCCGTAGTTTGCCCATTGCTGGGTTAGAGTTAAGGTTAGGTTTAGTGTTGGGGCTTAATATTTTAGTTATTGTCTTATTTGTTTATTTTGTTCAGGTTAATGTGTTAATAATAATAATAATAATAATGTAAAATAAATGCACAATTTAAAATAAACCAATAAAATAAATGTAATAATATATAATAACCCCTAACCCTTAAAAAAAAGTTATTAATAATAATAATAATAATAATAATAATAATATTATTTATTATTATTATTATTATGAACTCCCCAACATAAAATAAATATTTTTTTTCTTCGTGTTTGGGTGTTTATTATTATTATTATTTTATTATCATCATTATTATGATTCATCATATATTTTAAAAAAAAAATGCGCAAATACACAGACGACACGCGAATCGCACATTTCCACTAATTTCAATGAAATAAAATTCTGCCCGATTTCAGCGACAAAGCTTCAGAACTTGTTTGCGCTTCAGGCGAATTGGAGTGGGGATGTGAACCATCTCTATTGAGAATAATTGATTTTTTTTTTCTCTTCAAGTGTTTTGAAACTTTGAGCTACAAATCGCTCAAGTGTGTATGGAGCCTTAATCTGTGGTCACCAATCTCATTGGCTGTCTATCTGTCTGTCTGTGTAAGTATTGGTTTTAGTATATTAGAAGAAATAACATCTTTTTTTTTTTTTTCTTCTTTTTTCATAGGGGACAAGAAGAAGTATTGTGAAGCTGCCAGAGAGCGGGTAATGAACGTGATAGAGACGGCCAGGAGCAAACAATGTGAGCTACACAGCGCCAGCTTTCAGAGTGGACAGCTTGCCCTGGGAGAAGACCCTCCAGATACCTGGGTCTACCCGCTGGTGCAGATGAAACCGTTCGGTATCCACATAGACGAGCTCGTTACAGAAACGTTACTGACGGAGGCCGAGAGAGGAGACCGGCTCCATCTGACCACTGGATATTTTAACCTGACACAGGGGTACATGGACCTAGTGCTGGGCACCCGGGCTGACTATAACATTCTGCTCGCCTCACCCGAAGTCAACGGCTTTTATGGGGCCCGGGGCATCGCAGGCGCCATACCGTCCGCCTACGTGCATATAGAACACCAGTTTTACAATGAAGTCTGTAGGAAAAGGCAGCACCATCGGGTCCAGCTGCGGGAATACTTTAGAGACCAGTGGACATTTCATGCTAAAGGTAAGCACATTGGGCCTTAAAGTGGTTGTCCACCCTTACATAGACCCAGTAAAGTGACTAACCTCAGGTGATACACAAATCCTTATATAAGTTGTACCTGTTTATCTGGTGCCTTTTCCTCTCTACATGTTCAAGGTGCAGAAGTTATACAGCTTGCCTGAGCTTTCAGAAAGAAAAGCAAGCAGGGGGCGAAAAGCTGAAGTTACTCTGCATAGCTCACTGAGAGCTAATTGTAGGGAAAGGACTTGAAAGGGTGAAGGAGCTTAAGGTTGTGGGGGTAACAGAGGCTCTCGAAAAAGAAGAGATGTTCAGTTTTCTTGTGTAAAGTTATGGGTCTTTATTGATCCACAAAATTCATTGGCGGAGTTGCATTTTATTGTATGATCAATAAGGACCCAGAAAATTACACAAGAAAACCTCAACCGTCTACTTTTAAGTATGAGTGTGTCTGAAAGAACCTCCTTTATATCATGAAGCAGGTGGTCAGATTTTTCTGCATGACTTGGAGACTTGAAAGGGAGCAGATAGGTGGCTATGGGGCACACAGGCGGTTCTGTACTTGTCAGGGGTCAGGCTCAGAGACCAGTAGTTATAGCAGTAGACAGGCTCCCACCAACCAGCAGGAGGAGTATGCAAGCAGGGCACTCTGGTGGATGTTGTGGGCTCACCTGAAATGCGGGGTCTAAGCACTGACCCATATTCACCAGAGTTCCTGATGATGGAGATGGGTTTTGCTGGCTGTTAGTACCAGGTTGTGGTCCTCAGGGTTGCTCCACCTGAAAGTGAGCAAGATGGGGTCCAGTAGCAGATATAGAAGGTAGAGATAAAGCAGAAATGTAGTCTAGGAGCAAGCCAAATATAGGTGATAAGTGGTTGCAGGTTGGAATCAAGCAGAAGCATGGTCAAGGAACAAGCCAAAGGTTGGTAACAAGTGGTTGCAGGTTTGAATCAAGCAGGAGCATAGTTGTGGAACAAGCCAAATATTGGTAACAAGTGATTGCTGGTTGGAATCAATAAGAAGTGTAGTCAAGGAACAAGCCAAAGGTTGGTAACAAGTGGTTGCAGGTTGGAATCCAGCAGAAACATAGTCGAGGAACAAGCCAGACGTTGGTAACAAGTGATTGCATGTTGAAATCAAGCAGAAGTGTAGTCAAGGAACGAGCCAAAGGTCGGTAACAAGTGGTTGCAGGTTGGAATCGGGCAGAAGCATAGTCAAGGAACAAGACAAGGGCTGGAATCAAGCAGAAGTGTAGTCAAGGAACGAGCCAAAGGTCGGTAACAAGTGGTTGCAGGTTGGAATCGGGCAGAAGCATAGTCAAGGAACAAGACAAGGGCTGGAATCAAGCAGAAGCCTACTTGAGGAACAAGCCAGAGGTTGGTAACAAGTGGTTGCAGGTTGGAATCAAGCTGAAGCATAGTCGAGGAACAAGCCAAAGGTTGGTAACAAGTGATTGCAGGTTGGAATCGTGCAGTAGCGTAGTTGAGGAACAAGCCAAAGATTGGCAACAAGTAGTTGCATGTTGGAATCAAGCAGAAGTGTAGTCGAGGAACAAGCCAAAGGTTGGTAACAAGTGGTTGCCGTTTGGAATCGGGCAGAAGCATAGTCAAGGAACAAGACCAGGGCTGGAATCAAGCAGAAGCCTACTTGAGGAACAAGCCAGAGGTTGGTAACAAGTGGTTGCAGGTTGGAATCGGGCAGAAGCGTAGTTGAGGAACAAGCCACATGTTGGTAACAAGTGATTGCTGGTTGGCATCAAGCAGGAGCGTAGCTGAGGAACAGTCCAAAGGTTGGGAACAAGTGATTGCAGGCTCAGATCCAGGTCCTGATACCTCACGTTTGGCTCGGACCTGACCTGCCACTTCCTGACTGATGAGAAGCATTTTATCCCAAATTCTTTTATTGGGCCAGCTGGCTGCAATAAGACATCTGCCTGACGACGTGTGCATTGCACGTTTGAAGGAGACTGTACATCGTTTCCTATATCAGCGCTCAGCTTGCTGGAACATCTGAATGGAAACAAGTCCTCGCAACATCTGGAAGAACTCACTATTCTTCTGTTAGCCTCTGTGACCCTGCTGAGGAGATTCATCCTTTTGTTTGTGCTGCTGACCATGTGATGGAGGCAAAAAGTGGGAGGAAATTCAAAACGTTAACGTTGACTCCAGAACAAGAAGTACGGGGAAGTCCACCAGAGGGAACACCTGTTTCTGTGACAACTGTATTAATCTCCTCCCGCCCCTTTAAAAAGATCGACATGCTGGGAGGCGGGCATTCCGATCATGTAACCGCTGTGATTGGCTGTCACAGGATTGGAAGCTCCCTATTGCAGGTATGTATCGGGAGCTTTCCGTGACATTTCAGGACTGTTCTGGGAGCTCACAGGAAACGGTTTACCTATAGACTCACTACATGCGGCCAGCGAGACGTAGTTCACGGGATGGGTTTCCTCACTTTGGAAGATTTTCTCTTCCTGTTGCACCTCCATCATACATTAGGAGGATGAGAGGGCCACAAAGTATTGATTATATTTCATAACCAAAAACAATTTGAAAATTCAATGCGTTTCAGAGGCTCAAAGTCCCCCGTCATCAGGGCTTACAGCAGTAAGTTCAAATTTATACTGGGCAACTGTCTTAAATCCATATGTGTGTCCCATAATCTGGGTTTCCAGTGTGAATGTACTGCCAGCACACAAGCTCTGATGCAAATGCAGTTTGAACCTTCGAAACGCGTTGGATTTTTCCATTTTGTGTCATGAAATAAGAATTCTCACTGGACTGAATGTTTTATAGACTGCTCCAGGGATCACTTAGGATTGTCCTAGAACTGACTAGAAATGAGATTCTGACTTCTGACCACAGTCTGCTCTGGGGTCCAGCACTCCACCTTCAGTCTACCCCGGGGGTCCAGCACTCCACCTTCAGTCTACCCCGGGGGTCCAGCACTCCACCTTCAGTCTACCCCGGGGGTCCAGCACTCCACCTTCAGTCTACCCCGGGGGTCCAGCACTCCACCTTCAGTCTACCCCGGGGGTCCAGCACTCCACCTTCAGTCTACCCCGGGGGTCCAGCACTCCACCTTCAGTCTACCCCGGGGGTCCAGCACTCCACCTTCAGTCTACCCCGGGGGTCCAGCACTCCACCTTCAGTCTACCCCGGGGGTCCAGCACTCCACCTTCAGTCTACACCGGGGGGGTCCAGCACTCCTCCTTCAGTCTACACCGGGGGGGGGGTCCAGCACTCCTCCTTCAGTCTACCCCGGGGGGGGGTCCAGCACTCCTCCTTCAGTCTACCCCGGGGGGGGGTCCAGCACTCCTCCTTCAGTCTACCCCGGGGGGGGGTCCAGCACTCCTCCTTCAGTCTACCCCGGGGGGGGTCCAGCACTCCTCCTTCAGTCTACCCCGGGGGGGGGTCCAGCACTCCTCCTTCAGTCTACCCCGGGGGGGGGTCCAGCGCTCCTCCTTCAGTCTACCCCGGGGGGGGTCCAGCGCTCCTCCTTCAGCCTACCCGGGGGGTCCAGCGCTCCGCCCTCAGCCTACCCGGGGGGTCCAGCGCTCCGCCCTCAGCCTACCCCGGGGGTCCAGCGCTCCGCCCTCAGCCTACCTCGGTGGTCCAGCGCTCCGCCCTCAGCCTACCTCGGTGGTCCAGCGCTCCGCCCTCAGCCTACCCCGGGGGTCCAGCGCTCCACCCTCAGCCTACCCCGGGGGTCCAGCGCTCCACCCTCAGCCTACCCCGGGGGTCCAGCGCTCCACCCTCAGCCTACCCCGGGGGTCCAGCGCTCCACCCTCAGCCTACCCCGGGGGTCCAGCGCTCCACCCTCAGCCTACCCCGGGGGTCCAGCGCTCCACCCTCAGCCTACCTCGGTGGTCCAGCGCTCCACCCTCAGCCTACCCCGGGGGGGTCCAGCCATAAATGACAATAATCTTTGTGGGTGTGGATATGCTGTAATGTATGGGTATGCTCGTACAATGAACTTTTACTCTTGTGGTCTGTTTGCAGCGTTTTCAGAAGGTGCGGCGACAAGTTTCTCTTTGCACGGGTTTCCTTTCCCGCTTATAGCAGCGGAGTTCCAGCTGTTTGGTTTCCTAGCTCAGGTTACAGAATAAATGCCAATTCCTGGCCACGTTGGGCAGCAGCCTCCTATTTTTCCTTTGCTTGAACTTTTGAAGCAAGCCCATAATAAGGAGAATGTGAATGTGGCCCCGGCACAAGTTCCACATAACACAGGGCCCGAGGTTCAGATGACTACGTTCGTCAAGTCCGGGCCGGCAGGAAGAGTGTGTGAAAGGTCTTTTTGTTCCTCTTCTGCTTTCTCTGTTACAAAGAACTGAAGCTCAGGTGTCTCGATTTTTGTGAAACTGGCTGAACCTGACAATCGAGTGACTGTAAATCCTGCTGTACACCCTGCCAGGAAACCGCAGCAAAGTGAGGCCTGTGTGTGTGCAGACAACTGACGTGCGCCGTACATTTTCTTTTTTTCATTTCTGTTCTGTTGGTGCGATGTGATCTCTCTCAGAATGAGATTTATTACGTGAAAGGAAAGGACCGGTTTCCCTTTGCTTATTCTGTGGCTTCTGTTTTTCTTTCTTTCTTTGTCACCCTCCACAGGTCTGTGGCTGTATCCAGCAGGTAAAAGCATGCCGTGCCTCACTCTCATTGGCTCTCCAAATTTCGGGTACAGGTCGGTCCACCGGGACCTGGAGACCCAGATCGCACTGGTGACCGAGAACCAGGACCTGCAGAGGCAACTCCATCAGGTAAAAATTCGATCCATTAAGTGCCGTGCAGTACATATATTATAAATAATAAATAAATTAGAATTTTATTTTTTATATATATATATATATATATATATATATATATCAATAGGTAAAAATAAGTGAGCGCACTACAAGTAACAGCTAAGCACAATAGGTAACCAGATAAAACCTAAAAATCAAAAAATAAAATAACGTGCAGCGCTAGAAATAATAAATCTAATAAATTGCCTTTATGATAAAATATAATAAAATTAATTAAAGTTCATGGGTATATGATCATAAAATCTAAATGTTCCAAAAGTGACAATCGTGTTCTGGAGGTGACTACTTCGAAGGTATTCCGGTGCTCGTGCAGATGGAAATAATAATAAAATTGCGCACTCACCAGAGGCACAATTTTAATGTGCATATTTATATATATATAGGTATAAATGTCCTCCAGAACACGATTGTCACTTTTGGAACATTTAGATTTTACAGCGCAGTCGTCCCAGTTCTTGAAGGGTGTCCATAGACGTTCTCGCAGAACCACACCCCCACGCACCATGCTGTGGCATGCTCAGTGATTGCTGTGCCCTTCAGACACAGTTGATCACAGATCGGGGTAAAGGGCCAATCACAGCAACCCTTTACCATGTGTTCAGCTGTGTCCAATTATTTGCCAACTTTTATAACCGAAACCAAGAAAAACTCGCCGCCCCCCCCCCATAATTTTTGGTCTTTTTTCGTTTGTTAATGCGGAGTTCCACCCGAAAGGGGAAGTTGCGCTTTAATGCTTTGTCCCCCACTCTCCATTAAGGATTGGCACCTTTGGGGAGCGGGGCGTACCCAAACTTGATAGGTATTATTATTATTATACAGTATTTATAAAGCGCCAATAGTTTGCTCAGCGCTGTACATTACAAAGGGGGACAGAACATGTGACAGAACAATACCAATACAATGCAAAACATGAGGGGATTGAGGGCCCTGCTCTTTCGAGCTTACAATCTAGGAGGGAGGGGGTGGTGGCACAGGAGGAGATAGCTGTGGGGGATGGAGTGGTAGGAAGAGTGGAGGAGGTCGGCAAGTTAGCAGGGGGTGGGGTAGGCTTCCCTGAAGAGATGGGTTTTCAGGGTGCGCCTAAAGGAGAGGAGAGTAGGTGATAATCTGATGGGTTGGGGCAGGGAGTTCCAGAGGATGGGTGACCACCCTGGAGAAGTCCTGGAGGCGGGCATGGGAGGAGGAGACCAGGGAACTAGAGAGAAGGGAGGTCTTGTGAGGAGCGGAGTGTGCGTGTTGGGCGGTACTTGGATATTAGGTCAGTGATGTAGTTCGGGGCAGTATGGTGGACGGCTTTGTACGTCAGCGTTAGGATTTTGAATTTGATCCGTTGCGCAATCGGAAGCCAGTGGAGGGATTGGCAGAGGGGGGTGGAGGACACTGAGTGGAGGCCAGTGGAGGGATTGGCAGAGGGGGGGTGGCGGAGACAGAGCGGTTGGAAAGGTGAATGAGTCTGGCAGCCGTATTCAGGATCGACTGAAGCGGGGATAGCCAGTGGCGAGGCAGGCCAGTGAGGAGGGAGTTGCAGTAGTCGAGTCGTGATATGATGAGGGAGTGGATGAGCTGTTAGTGGTTTCTGGGGTAAGAAACGTGCAGATTTTGGCGATGTTGCGGAGTGGAGTCTGCATGTTGCGGAGGTGGAGTCTGCACGAGTTTGTTAAAGATTGGACTTGGGGCTGGAAGGGTAGGTTGGAGTCCAGAATGACACCAAGTACTCTGGCCTGCAGAGCGGGTTTGATATTGGCGTTGTTGGATGTGATGGAGAAGTCAATGGGGGGTGGGGTCCGGGCTGGGGGGGAAGACAAGAAACTCGGTTTTGGAGAGGTTCAGTTTAAGGAAGTGGAGCGACATCCAGTCTGATATGTCGCTCAGTAGGTGTGTGATTCGGCTGAGACCAAGGGGGTTGAGGTGGGGGGTTGAGAGATAGATTTGTGTGTCGTCGGCATAGAGGTGGTAGTTGAAGCCGTGAGAGTGTATGAGTTGGCCAAGGGAGGAGGTGTAGATGGAGAAGAGAAGGGGCCCGAGGACAGAGCCTTGAGGGACCCCAACAGAGAGAGGGGGGGGGAGTGAGGGGAGGTGGTAGCATTATAGGTAACGCTGAAGGAGCGTTGTGACAGGTAGGATGAGAGCCAGGAGAGAGCAGAATCTCTGAGGCCAAGGGAGTGTAGTTTTTTGAGGAGGAGGGGGGGTGGTTGACTGTGTCGAAGGCCGCAGAGAGGTCAAGGAGTAGGAGCACTGAGTAGTGGCCATCAGCTTTGGCGGTTAGCAGGTCGTTGGAGAGTTTGAGTAAGGCAGTTTCGGTGGAGTGTAGGGGACGGAAGCTGGACTGTAGGGGGATCGAGGAGGTGGTTGTCGTTGAGGTGAGAGCATAGGCGGGTGTAGACTAGGCGCTCGAGGAGTTTAGATGTAAATGGGAGCAGGGAGATGGGTCTGAGGTTGTTCGGGTCATTGGGGTCCAGGGAGGGCTTTTTAAGTATGGGGGTGATATGTGCATGTTTCAGAGGGGAGGGGAAAGTGCCTGAGGAGAGGGAGGGAGAGATTGAAGATGTGGGTGAAGGAGCGTAGGATGGAGGAGGAGGAAGGTCGTAGGAGTTGTGAGGGGATAGGGTCGAGGGGGCAGGTGGTGAGGTGGGCATCAGAGAGGATCTTGGAGACTTCCTCGATGGTAGTAAGGTCAAAGGTGCGGAGTGTGGGGGGAGCTTCAGTATGAGGAATGTAGGGTGGGGTGGAAGAGGAGGTCAGAGCAGTGGTGGGGCCGTGGGAGAGGGGATGATGAGGGGGTAGCTGAGTGAGGGTGAAGGGGGTTGGAGAGAGTTTGAGCAGCGACGAAGTCCCTGCGGGTTATGTCGAGGGGGAGGGGGGATAAGGGGGTAGCTGTGTGAGAGGGGGACAGGTTGAGAGGGCGTGTGAGTTGCGGCAATGTCCTTGCGAATTGTGTCAATCTTGTTTTTGAAGTGATTGGCAATCTCAAGGGCAGTGAGTGAGGTGCTGGGTGGAGGTGGGGGTGGAGAGAGTAGAGAGTTGAAGGCAGAGAAGAGTCGGCGAGGATTGGAGGAGAGGGCCTTGATGAGGGTCAAGAAGTAGGCCTGTTTGGCAGCATGGAGGGAGGAGGTGTAGGTGCGGAAGGCAGATTTATAGCGGGTGAAGGCTTGTTGGGATTTGGTTTTGCGCCATAGTCGCTCCAGGGCACGACTTTGTCGTTTGAGGGTTTTGGGTGTGATCAGTCTGCCAGGGCTGGAGCGGTCGGGGTCTGATGTTGCGTGTGGTTAAAGGCGCTAGTGAGTCAAGGGCTGTTGACAGCGCATTGTTGTAGGCGGTCAAAGCCAAGTCGGGGCAGGACAGGGGGAGGATGCGGTCATGGAGTTGATCAGCTGCAGAGTGGAGGGGGGCAGGGTTAAGGTTGCGGAGGTTTCCAGCTGGTAGTAGTGTGACATTAGGAGGGGTAGGCGTTGGAGGACGAGGAGATAGAGAAGGTGATCAGGTTGTGGTCAGAGAGAGGGAAGGGGGTGTTAGTGAGGTTGTGGGGGGCGCAGCGGTTGGAGAAGACAAGGTCCAGGATATTTCCGTCGGAGTGGGTGGTGGATTGTATGCACTGTGCAAGTGCAAAGGAGGAGGTTAGGTGGAGGAGACGGGCTGTGTCCGGGTTGTCAAGGTTGACAGGGATGTTGAAATCCCCAAGAATTATGGTGGGTAGCTCAGAGGAGAGGAAGAAGGGTAGCCAGGAGGAGAAGTCATCCAGGAAGCGGGTATGGATCCAGGAGGCCGGTATATCACAGCAATCTTCAGGGGGGTTGGGGAGATTGGGGAGAGAATAGTCGGACGCAGTGGGCCTCGAAGGAGGAGAAGGATAGGGAGGGGGGGTTTGGGAGGACTCGGAAGGTGCTCTGCAGTGACAGGAGCAGACCAACCCCACCACCTTTACGACCGTTAGGCCTGGGTGAGTGGGTCCAGGTGAGACCTCCGTAGGAGAGTGCAGCAGGGGAGGTAGAGTCAGTGGGCTGGATCCAGGTTTCTGTGATCGCTAGGAGGTTGAGGGAGCGGGAAACAAAGAGGTCGTGGATGGCGGTAAGCTTGTTGCACACCGAACGGGCGTTCAGGAGTGCACGTGAAAACGGGGGGGGAGATTTTAGGGAGCAGGGGGACAGATACCAAATTGTGGGGGGTTGCAGTAGGACGTGGAGGTGGGAGGGTGTTGAGCGGGGAGAGGAGGTGGAGGGCCAGGATTCGGGGAGATGTCCCCCGCGTTATGAGGAGGAGAAGGGTGAGAAAGGTGGCATGGGAGCGGATGTGCAGGAGCGTGAGAAACTCCTAGTGGAGGTGTTGGGGTCAGTGGGAGAGCGGAGTAATAGGAGGAGGTGGTGGGTGCCATAGAGGGGCAAAGGGAGCAGTGAGGACACAATATACAAATGTTTGGGAGGGGCAGAGGGATATAGTGAATGGATTTTGGGAATGGAGGAGAGGAACATGAGAAGGAGGAGTGGAAGAGGCATTTTGGGGAGGTGAAGAGAGCAATAGTAGGGAGATGATAGCAGTGAGGGGGAGATGTACAGGTTGTGGGGTGGAGCAGAGGGGTAAAGAAATGAGATTTGGGAACAGAGGATAGTAATATGATAAGGAGAAGAGGGGGGTGTATTATATAAAGGTACACAGAGTGGGACTCAGGCATGTAAGAGGTTTCCCGGGGTGTTTGCTTGCAGTCTTCCAGCATGCAGTAGAGCTTCTTGCTGTTGTTGTGTCTTCCTGCTGCTTGAGTTCTCCTGCTTTAGTTCAACTGCTGCGTTTAACTGCTTCTTCTATGCACTCGTTCTAAGCCGCACTCAATCTGAAGCAGCACCCCCATCAGAGACTGTGCCCCCCATCAGAGATCTCCCCCATGAGCTGATCTAAATTTATAGGGAGATGCTCAAATGAACATTCAACTCCACCCCAATTAGAAGCTGGTAAGGATCACATGA